TAAAGACATCTACACCAGCTCTTCACACAAATTTTGAATTAAAGCTTTTTGAAGGACAGTAACTGTGCAGGAAAAGAACTATCCATAATTCTACATCCCATTAGCATTAACCAAGGACCAAGCAGCAAATGTGCAAGAAAATCAAAGATTTGTGAAGAACAAAAGAGGAAAACTCTCAAAGACAAAAACCCAATTTCAAATCGAACAACAATAATAAAAAAAAATCCCAATTGATTTAAGTCACAAAATCTTAGCATTAACAGATAAAACAATAGCAACAAAGAGTTATTAGGGTTAAAGGAACAATTACCAAAAAACATATTAAAAACCCAAATCCAAAAATCCAAAATCCTGAACAAAAATCAAAGAGGAGAAGAAGGGGGGTACTACTCACATAGATATTGAGTTGCCTAAGGAAGCTAGAGAAATTGCTGCACTTGAAGTACTTAGGCAGCAACTGAAAGCAGAACTAAGTCCGGTCCCAAACAACAAAACTATCAATGTTCTGACCCCATGAAATTATGGAATCAGTGGAGTCATCGTTGACCATGTCATAGCATTTCTTCAGAAAAGGCGCAACTGACACAGACCCATTGTCGGCCGATTTCACCACAACTGGGTATGATTCTACTGAAGATCAGAGAAAATTTATCTAATTTTCTGTAAACCTTTAAACTGGTTGCGGTGAGATAAGGCAGAAAAGGAGACCCCAAAATCGGAATCAGAACTGGAATCGAGTGGTCGACGAGGTCAGAGAGCGACGACAAAGTCGATGATGACGGACGATGGAGGCTTCATCGCCGTCGGTGAGAGGAGAGAGTGGAGAGGAAATTCATGGGTTTGAGAGTGAATTTGAAATACACGGGTTTTACTCTTCTCAATTACTTCGGTGAAATACATGTATTTCACTTAAATTCAATTACACAAAAAGTGATATTGAATTTCAAAGGTTGAAATTCAAATACATTGTATGAAATTCATGTTACCAAACACACAGCATATGAATTTCCGAGCTAGTGCATCAATTTACGCGATTTTAGAAATCCTAATTACTCATCAGATCGAAAGAAACGCAAGAAATACGTACATAAATGAAGAATAATATATGCATAATTTTAAACATAGCAGAGAAAAAATAGGAAATCGAAGACGGAGAAAGGAATACTCACAGCCATTGTAGCCGAAATAGGTATTCTGAACTTCGCTTTGCCTCGGAGAGTTTTAGGGTTTGCCTCTGCGTACTGACAAGGGACAGCGCGCCTTTGCTCTTTCTAATCTTTCTTTTAATATTGGGCTTGGGCTCACATATCTGGAGGAACTATTGGGTCCACAAATTGATAAAAAAGATTGTATAGTGAGGCCTTGTACTTGAGCCAGCCATCACTTCTTGGGGTTACATTTTATGACTGTGACCCAACAATGTTTTTTTTTTTCTGTTGTTTGTTTTGGCCCATTAACTTTTTATTTGAATTTTTTTCGGCCTCAATAATAGCATTGCGGCCCAACCACATGTTTTTGTTGATTTTGGCCCAATAACTATTTTTTATTTCTTTACAGTATGTTTGAATTGGAAGAAAGAGAGGATAGAAAAAAAATTTTCTTTATTTAATTATCAAAAAAATTGAAGGGGATGGGAAAGGAAAATTTTCCTCTAATTTATTATTATTATTTTTAAAAAAAATTTAGTTACTTGTCCAAATGAAAAAAAAAGGGAAGAGACGGGAATAAGAAGATATAATTCTCTTTACCTCCATTTCCTTCAACTTAAATATAGGGTTATAGTTTACACATTCAACTCACTAATTGAGGTTATGGACACCACTAATTTTGTTAAGATCACAAATTTTATTTATAATTTTATCAATTTATAGTTTTCTCATAAAACAGTTAGTTATGATATTTGAAAATATCTACTTATAAATTAATTTTAATATGTTAAATGAAAAACATTAATCCTGTTTGATACATTATTAGTTATTTTTAATAATTAAATTAAAATAAAATTTCAACAATTTTATTGATTATAAAAAAAAAATTAGTATGGCAGCAATAACCATATCTACATAGCATACATAAGTCCTCTTGTTCTCTCTTTTTCAATTTTTTATTTCCAGCTATTTGATGACTTACATATAAGACTTCTAACATGTGCTTTTCAAGATACAAAAAGTAAAATCATGAAAGGATCAATCTGAACCCTAACAAGAAAATCTCAATCACATGGTCCGTAAACTTTAATTTTAAGTGGAACTCGGAAGTTATCTCAGTATGTATATATATATATACATATATATATATATATGTCACAAACTTTTTATGGTTGTTTTATGGCTGGCATACCATGTTTCATCATGTTTTGTGCCCAACCATGTGGCCAGGAAGCCAAATTACTCAAGTTGAAGAGCATATCTCTTTGTTAACTAACCTATGCTATCCTTGGATGCATAATGGTCATTTTAGATAATAGCAAAACTATGCTATCAAAAACAAACTTTTATGTTTTAGAGTAGGGTTTCTTATTTTACTGTCAAAAACAACTAAAAAATAATTATGACATAAAAAACAACACTTAGTATTAATGGTCTTTTTTATAATGTATTTTAAATTTTCTCAATTAAGTGATTCAACTGTTAAGAGTTTCAGATTTCAAGTTGAAAATCTTAAATTCGTATATTGAATGGGATGGAAAATAATTTCAAAATATGAGAGAATTATTATCTCTTTTATAACTCATAATCAGATATATCAAAAATGATATATTTTAAATTTAAATTATACAATATTTTTTTTAATTTTATAATATTAGAATAATAAAAAAT